ATTTAAAGGGATCCCGGGCGGGTTTAGTTTAATGGGTCAGGGGTTGGGTTAAATTGGAATTGGACTGGCCCAATTGGGCATTAGGATTGGGGCCAATTGGGTTTAAGATAAAAATGAAATTGAGGCTATAATTAAAATGAAATGTGGCCAAAATTGAAATAGCCAGTTTTTCCCTGTTATTTTATAAAAAATAGTGAAAATGATTTTAAAGGAAAATTGAAGATGTTGAACCAATTAATAATACATATGTATTAATTTAAAAATATTAGAACTAATTTTACAATTATAAAACACTATTAATCGTAAAATAGGCTATAATTGCCTTTATATGCAATTAGCTTTAAAAAATACCAAACAAATTTGTAAAAATATACAAAAAATTACCTTAATCATATTTTGTGTAAATATGAGAATAAAATAAGTTATTCACAAAAAATGATAATTTTGGGAATAATTATTGGATTTTGTACTGTTAAAATAGACAATAAATTGATTTAAAATAAGAAAAAATACCAAAACTCTTGGGAATGCTTATATATGCATGTATATGCTATTTTGAGGATATTTTGAGTACATAAAAATACTTAGGGAAAAATTGGGTATCAACACTAGTCTCTCATTAGGGCCATGCATTATTGGATATATATACACTGGGGAAAATTTTCGTTTCTCCATACCCGGCCTCAAAGAGGACTCGGTCATACCCAGCCTCAACAGGTCTCGACCGTACCCGATCTCAACAAAACTCGGTGTATCCTGCCTCAAGAGGACTTGGTAGCCTCACATCACACATCATCTCTCCAAACCCGGCCTCATAGAGAATCGGTCTTACCCGGCCTCAGGAGGTCTCGGTAGCCTCACATCACACATCATCGCTCCATACCCAACCTCATAGAGGACTCAGTCGTACCCAGCCTCAAAAGGTCTCGGTCGTACCCAGTCTCAACAGAAATCGGCATAGCCGGCCTTAAGAGTACTCGATAGCCTCACATCACACATCATCGTATCCGGCCACACATGGGCTCGGTAATATCTTACATCATGTTTTGTCATACCTAACTGATCAGTGGTTACACAATAGATGCCATACACAGCCGACTATAGTGCGGCTCGGTAAAGTAAAATAGATACATATATATAAGTACAATGTAGTAATAGTTTCAAGAGATGGAAACTTCGAACTTTAGAATAGATCATACTTTCCGACCACAGGATACTAACAGGAAATAATGTAGACTTGGAAGGACACGTTACCACCAAAATCGCACAGAACAAGGACAACATCATTGAGTGGACTTAGAACTACCACACATTACCGTACAGGAGTCACTTAGAAGGAAGGAGAGACTTACACTAACTTATGTTAGGAAAGAAGGTTGACCTACATACCTGGTCAGAGATCTAATTATATTTCTACGGTGGTTAGCTTCGCCTCTAATGAATCTTCGGAACCGATTCCACTAGATGATAATTGACATAGCAATGACTCCAAGATCTTCGAGTTAAATATTGCTAAATCCATATTTACCTTCTACTTCGCCTTAATTCACTAGGAAATTCTAAAGAGGCATGGAGAGTATTTTAAGAGGACTTGTTGTGATGATACTTCTAGAATGAAAGATAAAAAACCTTATTTCCCTTTTATACTCTTACCGAACACAGGAATTTTCACCACTTCCACGTGCAAAACGGGTCGCCCCACTCCGATTGCAACGCACGATAGGACACTTGGTGCAGACCCACTGAAACGTGTGACCACTTTCTAGCTTCGAACGTGCCTCCAGCTAATTGGTTGCACTAGGATCCACACTTACCATACTTTATTTAAGTGTGAGGTGTAACACTTCTAATATCTTACGATAAAATCTACTACGATAATGCATTTTGAAAGCTCTTATTATCCCAGTATTACAAGGTTGATTCTTTTATTTCATGTTGAGTGACAAGAGAATCAATTCAACATTTTGTAGTCCTTCAATATTTCTTGGATGTACTGGACAATTATTTAACACAAGCAAAACTCATCTACCATGCACTTTGTGGTCAAACCAACAAATATATTCATCAAAAAGCACACTTGTAGTCCATGCTCTTTTGTTTGCATGGTAGTGAGAATTCAACTTGTTCATCTTGACATTCTTGAAGCAACATGGCTTTGCATGTTTTTCAACAATGCATAAAGGAAATTTATTAGATCCATCCTCATTGCAAGAAATAACAATTGTGAGCCTTTCTTTGTCATACTTTCCTCCTTCAAGTTCTTTCGTAGACAAAGAATGATCATCTTTTAACCTATAAAACAAATCACTTTCATCCATAGTAAAAACATCTTACGTAGGAAACTGGTCTAATTTTTCCCTAATTGACTCCAATTTCGTCTCCATGTCTTGTATCTCAACCGAACCACTGTGATGACTCGATAGGTCATTTTTAGATTTAGCCTTCATTTCAGTATTTCGAGACCTCGAACAACTCCGTTTAGCCTTTCTTGATTTGCGTGCGAAGTCCAAGTCTTTTTCAGAAAATTTTTATATGAAAAATTGAAGAAAATATGAAATTTAGCCTTAAAATGATTTGAGTTGACTACGGTCAACATTTCGTGTAAACAAACCCGGATAAGCGCTTTAACGGTCCTAATGAGTCTGTATCATTTTTTGGGACTTGGGCGTATGCCCGAAATCGAATCCAGAAGTCCCTAACTTGATTTAACGTAATTTGTTGAAAACTAGTGAATTAAAGGATAAAAGAATTCATAAGTTTGACAGTGGGTTGAATTTATTGCGACCATGTTCGAATTTCGATACCAAAACTTGGTATAGGTTTATTTTGCTATTTATGACTTGTCTGCACAGAGTTGATTTGACGTGATTCGGATGTCCGGTTGTAAATTTGCATGTTCTTGAGTTTTTTTTAAAAATATCATTCATTTTGATGTCTGATTTGTACTTCTAGGTGTTATTTTAGTGTTTTGATCACGTGAGCAAGTTCGTATGATGTTATTACACTTGTGTGCATATTTGGTTTGGAGCCCGAGGGGCTCGGGTGAGTTTCAGATTGGCTATGGAGTGATTTTTTGACTTAGGCATCTGCGATTTTGCTTATATCTGATGTCTGGTGTTTTGTGCTTCGCGATCGCAAAGCTACTCTAGCGATCGCGAAGGGGAAATTGGGAGTGGGGCGGAGTTACTCTTTCCGAACGCGAAGTGGAGGGGGGCTTATCCTTCGCGAACGCAACTGTGCCTCCGCGAACGCGATGCTTTGTGGGGTTCTTGGGGGAGCTGGGTAGTGACTCTACGCGAACGCAAAGGCAGGTGGGGCTAAGCCTTCGCGAACGCGAAGAGTTGACCGCGACCGCGATGTAAAATTGATATATAAGTAGAATCTTAATTGATGTAAAATTTCTAAGTATTAGGAGTTTGTACGTAACTCAAATAAGAAAAGATTTATAGTCAAAATTTAAATTAATTTGAAATGCCTAAATATTATTAAAGAAATAATCAATTGACTATTTTATCTAGTGTAAACTTCATGTTAAAAGGGTAAAAAAAAATGAACAAAAATATTTTGTTAAGTGCCTTCGTACTTTTAATATAATATAGATATAGATAAATTGTAAAAATTGCACGGGGCGCCCTATTTGGTCGCCCCCATTTAACCTATATTCATTTTTTTTAAAACTTTTAACTTGTACCCACTTTTTAAACAACTTCAGCTCCCTTTCTCCTCCTCCTTCTCCTCCTCAAAATTTTATCTTTTCTTTTCCAGAAGTAAGGTTCATCCCTATCTGCTTCTTCTTATTTCTCCGATGAGTTCTATAAATATTCACGCCAACTTATACACCGAAACAACCAATTTGCTTTCTTCGTCACTTCCTACCACGTGACATGCATATATATACAACTGACTTGGTGATTTGTTTGATTAATTACTACTGTTGGACCACATTTCAAGGAAGCTAACAACTTCCTATGGCCATTCCAGCTTAAGACACCTCTTGGTGGACTCAAGAAGAAGAGAAACCACTATGTTGAAGGTGGTGACGCTGGAAACCGCGAGAATTACATCAATGAGCTCATCAGGAGGATGAACTAAAAGAATCTCACTAAGCAGCAAATTTCGTTTCTTTAGAAGTGTTTGTTTTTGGTGTTTGAACTGTTTGTAATATGGAACTAGTCAGGATTCAGGTCTTGTTCGCAAGGTTAAATTCAGTTTGGTCAAGATGGTGTGGCAAATGAAATTATAAACAAACAAAAACTTCAGCTCTAGAGCTGAAGTTCCCCAGTTACAAAGACAAAAACTTCAGCTCTAGAGCTGAAGTTCCCCAGTTACAAAAACAAAAACTTCAGCTCTAGAGCTGAAGTTCCCCAGTTACAAAGACAAAAACTTCAGCTCTAGAGCTGAAGTTCCCCAGTTACAAACACAAAAACTTCAGCTGAAGTTCCCCAGTTACAAACACAAAACTTCAGCTCTAGAGCTGAAGTTCCCCAGTTACAAAGACAAAAACTTCAGCTCTAGAGCTGAACTTCAGGCCCGGCTACTAGAATGCTAAAGTTTTGGGTGATTGCCTTTGCTACTTCAGCCCCGTATGCTGATGTTATGCGAAAAAGCGGGTACGCTTGCAATTTTTTTTGCAAAGCGAACACAAGTAAAAATGTGGCACAAAAAACGGGTATAGATGCAAATGCCCCTCTTATGGGCCATCTAGGTGCAATAACCTATAGGAATTTTTACACAAATAATCGGCCCAATTTATTGTTAATTTTTTCTAGCCAGTATACATAAATTATATAATAATTATATATATTATTATATACATATTATACCTTCGCTGGCTATTTTAAATTTAACCGCTTAGGTAGATGGCTATTTAAGTTAATTCTTCTAACCTATACTCGAGCAACTAATTATGTAAACATCCAACTAATCTGCAATATGGAGATGAAGCCCATAGCTTTAAAAAGGCCCAAATAACTTTATAATCCAACTTTCCTAGTTTTCTACTATTCTATTCAGCAATTGATTCAGAAGAGAGTGACAAAATTTTTTGTGTGAATCTAATTCAAAAGCGGTATGATTCCATGGAAATAAAGCTAAGCCAATCCTCTCTTCCATTGCCCTTCAAAGCTTCTTCCTTTAAAGCTAACTCCATATACAAACACTTCAGTTTACTTCCTAAGGTTCTCTTCCACAGTTTTTCTCTTTATTTACAAAGTTTTTTTTTTTCTTTTGTGACGCTGTGAAATGAAAATATGTTGAATATGCGGTAAATGATTTCTGGGTTTTGTTTTTTTCAGAGGTGTAAATATCAAATTCAAGAGTTTTTCTCAAATGGTCAACACTTGAACAATTCCAAGCAATTCTTGGTTCATGTGGTGAAAGAGTAAGTAATTCCTAAAACAACGTTTTAACTATGTGTATACATATTTCTTTACATTTAAGGAAAGAGGGAAAATGGGGTTATTTTTGTTTGATTATTGGTGTATTTTTTGCAGGGATGAAACGTTGACTTCAATTTCAAAGTTATATAGGGTGCCTATTTATGAAATTGCTGCTGCGAATAAGGAAATTATTGATGTTGACCTTGTTTTTGAGGGTCAACTGCTCAACATTCCTTCCTATATCACAGCTTGCTCGCAAACGGTAATGATTTTTTGGATTCATTTGGTTTCAGGTTAACAGTTACTAATATTCTATTGAACATTGAACTAACATGCTAAATCCTGCCATTTTTTAGTTTTTTGAATTGTGTGACCATATCATCTAAAAGTTTAAGTTGTTAGGGATAGTACACTTTTTTAATAGGACAGCTCGATGTACAAAACGTCCACATTCATGCAGGGTCTGGGAAGGGACGCGCCCCAAGGGGTGTGATGTTGACAGCCTACCCTAATGCCAACATCAGTGGCTGCCCGTGAATCTATAGGGCACACGGAGCCAACAGGGAGAATATATTTTTAATTACTTAATTATATATGTCTCAACATTGCCCCTCACGTATGGACCTAACCTTTTCATGGGTTTATTTTTGGGTGGTGGTGAGATTTTAACCAAGGATTTTTACATGCTCTAATGCCATATTGATTTCTGTTATCATCTCATATAAAAGCTTAAACTATTAGAGAGAGTATACTTTTAATTTCTCTACTTAATTATTTATATTATGTGCCAACATAGTTATACTTAAATAGTTACACTTTTCTTGTATTCTGATGTTCCAAAGAACATCCATATCATTTATCCCACCCAATATGCCACTTTTGTGGCAAACCAGCTATCGCCAAAAGGAATGTGGCTGTAGCCCGGAGCTTCAGTCTAGAGGTAAGACTGCAACTTGTGATGTGTGGGTTAAGCGCAAGTCACAGGTTCGAACTCTGGAGCAGACAAAAGCTTGGTATTTATGTGGAGAAGGGTAAAGGGAGAGCCCATTATCTACCTAGTTCCGAACTTCGTACCACAGGATCTAGGGGATTTCTCGCCTGTAAAATGATGGTTAAGAGTTCTTACTTTTGAGTTCCCACTCTGACTATTTAGAAGGCTATAATAATACCTTAATGAATTGAAGCGGATAAAGCTCAGCATTTCTCTAATTTGAATCGAAAGTTGGTTTTTACTCCGCTTACTTATCTTATAGCTTAGGGGCTTTTCCGTCTTTGGTTTCATTGCTTGTTGTTTTGCCTGGTTCAATAATACCGCTTATCCTAGTGAATTTTACGGACCTACTGTGCCAGAAGCTTCTCAAGCTCAAGCATTTACTTCTCTAGTTAGAGACCAAGGAATGGGTCCGAGTCATCAGATTTGCTCTAATTTGTTCATTGCCTATGAAGCTGGGTGCTAAAGAATTGGCTTTGTGTAACTCTTGTCTAATGATGATGTGCTATAATTGAGAATGAAATTGATGCTCTTGCACTATTGATTTTAATATATGTGATGATAGACCACATAAACTAATTGAAAAAATGACAGCCAGCTCAATCGAGAGCCCCTTGTACTTACCAAGCTGAAAGTAAAAGCCTAAACAAACTATAACAAAGTCAGCAAATATTTTCAGAAAAGAAGGTTGTATTTAATTTGATGTCAGCTTATAGGGATGTAGTTTCCGTGATATGATTATGATAAAGTTGTAAAATGGAAGGCCAAATAGAAAGTTCTGGAGTCCTTTTTTTTTTTGTTATTGTTTAGTTGTTAAAATCCATAAAATAGGCGTTGCTTTAAGGCTCTCATCAGTAAGATATTTTGTCATTCTGGGAGGTAAGAATAAGATCCGTTATGTTCTGAACTTTTACCGTCAATCCAGCTAGTTTGTCTAGTCATTCACTCATACCTTTGAATTTTTTGGAATGAGTTACAAGATTAGGAAGCCCTTAGAGATTGATCTGTTCAGATAATTCAAGATATGCATTCGCGTATTGCGTTTGACAAAATCTTGTAATATATTTTCTGACAAACTTGGATGCAGTATTTACATGATTTAGCAGAGAAACAGATCTTTTTAGCAGCTGCAATACAAGTAAAAGTGTTCTAATTTGCTTCTAATTGGAATTTTTTTTTTCTTCTAATGTTGCTTGTCAGTGTCAAAGAAAGATGATCAGATTACCTAAAATTGATGTGTCTGAAACGAACCGGCGCTTGAAACTTTATGGCAAAGACTTCAACCAGAAGATCCTATCTGTGCTTTCGTGCCGTCATTTACCATATGTAAGGACTTCCTTGAGAGATGTCGTATCTTTGTCTCGTTTGTTACAATAATTATATCTATTGCAAATGATTAGTGTGCAGACCCTTTTGAAATGTTGATAGATCCCTCAACAGACTTGTGAATGTTATTATCAGGGCAAAACCACTGGTTATTTTCTAGTTCTGGTTCCTCTGATAGCCTTTTGCATCAGATGCATAGTGACTGCGTTTCACCATAGAGTTGCTAGAAATAAATTGCAAGATGTTCGTCAGGCATCTGGAAGCATGAGATGGAAATTAGCTCTTCGCGATTTGAGCGATCCAGATGCGTCATATACTGATTCAAGACCTGACATTGATGTAAGTATTTCAGAGCAAAAATTACTATTTTGTTCGCAGTCTTCCTTCAGTTTTCCACTCTGCTTCATGTTTTGTTTTACTGATTCTATAATTACCTCAGTATGGCTTATTTTAGTTCTGTAATTTTCATTTTAAGGCATCTCAGGGAAAAGAAATTTCTTTTATGACATGTTCTTGGCAATTTGCCACCAAATTTCAGGAATAACTAACAACTAAGACGTCGTTTGGTATGATGGATTAGCAAAGATAATCCTGGGATAAAAATTTAGTATCGCCTTATCCCTTGTTTGGTTACTAATCTTGGGATAAGTTATCCCAAAAATAAAAATAGTACCGGGATAACTTATTATCAGAGGGTGGAACAGTAATCCCAAGATAAAGCAGTAAAATTGACAATCTCAAGATTAATACAGCATATGATATAGTTAATAAGAAATAATCCCAGATAACTAATCACAACTTAACTAATTCTAGCATAACGTGTTTTCAAACCAAGCGACCCCTAAGTAATTTGTGGAAGTGCATGAAGTTGATGTTTTTCCTTTAATATGGTTGATTCTTGCATCGCATGAGCTTATTTTACCTTGAGAACTTCACGATTGTCAGGGAGCTTTCGGATGAAAATTTGATAATTTGATAATCAACAATACTAGTATCTTATTATCTCAACATTACTTTCTATCATAGAAATTAATGCACGTGTGTTCGCCTTCTTTTCCGTTTTACATGGTGTTAAGAGTGCGGTGAACAATACGTGCTTCTTGCTTTGATTCTGTAAATGTTTTGCGAAATCCCCGACTACATAGGTTACCCTGCTAACATATTGGAACTGCTGAACAGAATGTCACAGATGATCAAGATAATTTCCATTCGGAAGATCATTCACGTGCTTATGCTAAACTGGACCATGATTATCAGAAGTTCTTGGCTGAATGCGGGATGAGTAAATGGGGCTACTGGCGCGGTGGTTCATCTAAATAAGTATTCTGGAGTATGATTGTTGCGTTACAAATTTTACGATTATATTGATGAATGTATATAGTGCAGATTGTTGATGAATGTATATAGTACAGGTTATTGATGAATGTATCAGTTTTGCCTAATAGCATTGCCTAGATGAAATCTTGGATATTTGTTGGATTTCCCATCTCTCTCATGGTAAAGTTGTCTTTGTGTGACCTATAGGTCACGGGAAGCCGTGGAATCTGATGATTACATCAGGATAGGTTGCCTACATCACACCCCCTTCTGGTGCGACCCTTCCCCGAATCCTGTGTGAACGCGGGATGCTTCATGCACTGGGCTGTCTTTTTTTATTCTCTAATGCAAGCATTAGTGGTTGCTTTCACGGCTCAACCAGTGACTATAGGCTCCACAAATATCCGCATCTCTAGATTTAGCAAACAAATGTTAGCTAACCAAAATGATAGAAATTGCCTCAAACAATTGAAAAAATAATGGAGACTGCCTCAGTTTGCATTGTCTCTTAGATAAACTGAAGGCAAAACTAATTTAACAAACATTTGCAGGATCTCAAAATTGTCTTCCGAATTTTCCTAAAATACAAATATTTTCTCACCAAGAATCCATTCTTGAGACAGCCAAGCTTATTTCCGTTGAGAATCCCATTAACAAAAGTGCAACCTTCAATACCATGTGCTATCCATATAAAATAAATAGGATTTAAGGTATATACATGGCTATGGTAGCTAGTTGTAACTACTATTAATGTATTTCAACATGTTGTAGCAGATAGGATATTTTTATTTTCAAGTTAAAAATCCCATTTATTATGGCCGAGTACCTATATAATATTTTTTATGTATTTAGAAATTAAACTCAAATAAATAAAAAAGATTTAACTTGTATACATTGACAGTGTAGTCTTTTCACAATAATCCACTTTATGTGATAAGCTTCAAAGTACAATCAATGGAATTACAAAAAATGTTGTGATTCTTCCATTTTAAAGATTTCGAATTTGAACCCTAAAATAAAAAAAATCATAGTTTAGATGATGTTTTTAGCCCTATAATATTGCTTATTTACTTAGCGCAAATTCGAATTAGTCAAATCAATAATTTCGGATACTGAATAATTAAAAAGAAGGTTGTGAAACGTTTAAAGTAACTAGGCGTAATATCAATGGTGTTAAGTGCTAGGTAGGGGTGTTCATGGTTCAATTTGGATCGATTTTTCCCTAAAAGAAAATCAAACCAAGTAAGTCAAATTTTCAAATATAACCAAACTAAGCCAATTAAGTCAATTTTTTATCGATTTGATTTTTATCGATTTTTTCTTAAATATAAGATACACAACCAAACATATATTCTGGCAACTATTATTTTCAATATAACACTAGCAAACCAATTGCTCTTTGAAAAATCTATCATTATCAAGATATATTGATGATAATTGAATCAAATAGTAATGAATAATTTAAGAACTCAATTAAAAATAGATTATTTTTAACATGAAATAGATTCTTGTACTTAGCAAAAGAAAACTACCATTGAAACTAGAATATAAAGGCAAAAGGTTAGGTTATTATACTAGCAAAAAACTAGACTAAAAGTGCAAACGATTAACATGTATCATAAAATTTTAGAAACTTTGTATAAAAATATACATATATATAGGTGTAATGATAAATTTTAAATAGCTACTTCTACAGTCGGTTTGGTTCAGTCTTTTTCGGTTATATTTGATTAAAACCAAAATCAAACTAATTTGATTCTTTTTTAAATTTCAAAGCCAAAAACAAACCAAGCCAAACCAAAAACTATCAATTTAACAACGAATTGCTACGATACATTAAAGTTAAACTACTTTAATAATATAAAAATTCTTTATATGGTGTATATATCTTAATCAGTAAAACAAAAATAAACGCTTCATATTGATGAGAACCTGTTGCCACGTGAAGCCAATTTAAGGTTCTCGGATGATGTAAAAGATTAATGACAGTTTTGACTGTACAGGCCCATGTGTCTGCTGGTTATAAGCAGAAGGTCCTTGGCCTTTTTTTTTTTTTTTTTTTTTTGCTGTAAGGAGGATTTTATTGATAATTATGTGCGAAAATACATGAGATAATTCAAAAGAAGGTTGGACATGCCAGATGCATCATAATGTAGATGCATGAGGGTAAAAGGGGGTCTTCAAAATACAAGATTGGGTATGAGGGTGATCCCGCGTTTAGTTTTTCATATTTTGTCAGTGTATCTGCAACTCCATTGCTTTCTCTCATTGTATGGTTGAGTTGTTGGATGTTGAGTTTTTGGATCATTGACCTGCAAGATGTTATGAGTTGTAAGTATCTTGGGCTGCCAATTTGAAGTATTTGAAGTAATACTTGTGAGTCTGCTTCAACAATTAATGGACGAAGGTTTTGTTTGGTAGAAATAGTCAGTCTATGGTAAAGTGCCAGTAGTTCAGCCTGTAGGGCATTTGTACTTGGTACATGCGTTGCAAAGCCGTAGTTCCATTGCCATGTGGAGTCACGAAAAACTCCTCCTGCTCCTCCATTGGGTCATAAGCCCCGTCGATGTTGAGTTTATAGTGTGATGACTGTGGTTTAGCCCAAGGGGTAATTTCTCTCTTAGCCTTAGTTTTTTTTAGGGATATTTGTTAAATAATAGACTTGAGATGCTAGAGAGATAATTGTGGTGTTGTCTATTAGGTGATTTTGATTTTTGAAGTGGTTATTATATATAGAGTTTTATTTAAGGTGAATGTCTATATTTTAGAGAGATTTTAGGGATTTTACTTGGTGGCTAAGTCACCCTTTCCCTATAAATAGAGGGGTCATATTCTATTGTAATTCATCCCAAATCAATAAGAATTCTCTCATTATTTTGCTCTGCAATCTTCTTCTTCTTTTATTGTTTCATAACATGTTATCAGCATGAGACTCTAACCAATTGAGTAGAAGTTTTGGGATTGAGCATAATGATTGCCAATTGTTCCATGAACTTCCTTCATGATTAAATTCTGGATTTAAGGTATGTATTTTACCGTATTTTTCTCTTTTATTCTATAATTTGATTTTAAATACAAGCAAAGAAAATAAACTTTGATTATAACTCTAATGGAGTTAGTAAGAAATTATAACCACTCGAAGTGGTAAAATTTCTATGTCTTGCCATGATCAAAGTCATGTATGATCGTGAGCACAAGAAGAGAAAACCCGTCCCATTGAATTTACTTCATTCTCATTCCATAAGGGAATGTGATATCAATATGTGATAAGTCTGAAAGAAGATAAAATTATTACCTGAAGGTATCAATGGATGTGGACGTGGAAATAGACGAAATTATAATCGTCATCATTGTGATAATGAGAATAATAAGGATTCTCAAAATAATCCTTCACTCTGAAAGTAATATTTGTCATCGATTTGACATGAGATTTTATAAAGCACATATAGATGATTATGGTCCATTCATGATGTGAATGTGATAACATCTGATTTATGAATACATATTCATTCTTGGAAGAATATGAACGTCCTAGTGGTAGTGAATATACCACACTCACCTCTAGAAGGAAGTTTGAGATGATATAAGAAAATAATGTCATTATTATGGCATGAATGGTCATTGGTCGCGTACCTATTGCACGCCAAATTATTTTGATAATGTGATTATTGAAGAATAACATTAATGCAAGAAACATATCTTGCATATAATTTTGACCATAACTATAATGGTATAACTTTTCCTTTAAAAGAGATATTCACCATATGGATGTTGATGAATATGTGATAGTACCAAATTAATTGAGAGCTCTGAAAGAGCCAATTATTACTATTTTGGAGGAATAAAATTGATTATCAATAAGGCATTGTGTTGTAGTAAGTCTCAAAGAAACTTAATTGAGTTTCTAAAGTATTCGCGAAAGCAGTTGGTCATACTGAGACTATAAATAAAGGAAAGATTTAATATCTTCTAATACAACAACTTGTAGCGGGGTAATATATATGTGAAAAGCTACCCGCTTTATTCTCCAGTTTGTACTACACAAACAAAAGAGTACCACAATAAAGTAGAAGTTTATTGATATAAAAATCCATATCATAATAAACTTGGAGTTTATTGATAATTGCACACGTCATGGTGTAAATTTGAAGTTTATCAACATTGATAATTTATTCAGTTGGCATAATTGGTTGTCACACCTCCTTTCTTGCTACTACACCCCGTGAAGGGTATAGTAAAAGGAGTTTTTCCAATTAAAGGACAATCGAAACGGGATTCGTTTATTAAGAAGTTCAGAGTCGCCACTTGGGAGATTTATTGTGTCCCAAGTCACCGGTTTGAATCCCGAATCGAGGAAAGGGTTTGACTCTGTTTAACAGTCGCGAACCAGAAATTCGGGTAAGGAATTCTGTTAACCCGGGAGAAGGGGTTAGGCACTCCCGAGTTCCGTGGTTCTAGCACGGTCGCTCAACTGTCATATTTGGCTTAAATCTGATTTTAATTCATGTCATCCTATAGTGCAATTTTAAAAAAAAAATTGTTTAACCGCTTTTAATTAGTTTTTATGAAAGTGAACGCCGTTTAAGAGCGTGTTTTTGGATCACGTCACATGAAATGCACCCGGATCCTCGACACCTCTTATTCAACGTTTTGGGATTTGGATTTGGGTCGCACGAAATGCACACCCGAGTTTAAGGAAGTTAATTTAAATTACGCGCCCAAAGCAACTCCGCACTTTCAAGTTTGCGAGGGCCATGGAAAATTCAACTAATGGCACACCTCGATTCTAATTTCAAAGGATTGTACTCAACTAAAGCAAACTACGGTGTCCATATTTACTTCTTAAAACTAATTTGAGACTATTGTAAAGCATGCATTATAGAATTAGGCTAACAATTGAATCATGAAGACTAGCTATAATCTGAATCCGGCAACTTCAACATAAAAATTGTACCATTATTTTAAACGAAATCATATATCATTTTTCTCCCCAAAATTCATGCCGTAGGAGATTTTAAAAAAATAAGGCCCATTATTCAATTGAACTTTCAAAACCAAAAAAACATATGATATTTAACGTACTGCTATTATAACATTCAAGTAAAATGAAAAACATATTTGTAAGGAAAGGCCAATACGGATAAAGGATCCTCATTCTGACA